GTGTGTGTGTGTGTGTGTGTGTGTGTGTGTGTGTGTGTGTGTGTGTTTCAGTTTCCTGCCTAACAACAAAGTGAGGGGTGTGTCCAGTCCTGTCATGGAGGAAGAGGCTCCGCCCACTGTTTCTGCAGAGCTGAAAACAGTAACGCACACAAACCGAGACACACAGGTAAACACAACATTTCTGTCAAACTTGTGAAGTTTAGGTTTCACTGAGTAAATTGGTGACTGAGGTGGATTTTCTGAAATAATGGTGGGCTCAATAATTAAACAAGTCAATTGTGTTTTGTTTATTAAAAGGGAAATAAAGGAAGAGAATAACAGGATTAGATGCTACAACTGACCTCAGGTCCAACAGAACCAAGTGGCTCTAACAGAACATATAATCCTGTCACAAATGATTTGTACAGACTCTGACCACCAGCCAATCAGACACTCTGAAGCTGAACATGTGCCCCCACATTACCCACAGGTGATGTCACAGACGTGCCGTATGACCCACCCGTCAAAATAAAACATTATTATTGYAAGCAGTCACGATGTTTTTGGATTCACAAGTGTTAAATATTTCTTTGCAATTAACACAAATGTACCAAAGCTTCTCTCAATAACATAATGTGTATTTTTTTTCCTTTTAAAATATTAATTAGTGGATATTGATTGAGGTAGGTTGGTGTGTGGGTGTGTAGGTGTGTAGGTGGTTGTGTTACTGAAAATTTGCAGCAGTTTTCATCACACAAGGACAACAGCAACAACCAGATATTAATACATAAATAATAATGTTACTATTAAAACCAAAAAATACATTAATAGTAAAACATAACTGTAGATAGTGCATAATAATACATAGAACTGTACATTTAGTATTTTTAGACTATAAATATGAAATATTTTACTGTATTTAAGGACTCAGAGCTTTTAGTTGGTTTTGACATGTAGGTAATTAGTTATAAAACAGAGCAATCAACAAAACATTACATTTGAGTGAATAAATTAAAGAGCAGCAGTTGCCAAAAAGAAAGCTTGCTTCAGTTGTTTTTAAATAAAAAAACGTATTAATGTTTTATAAAGTGTTCACAAACTCCTGAACAAGTGTTAGTAAAGCACTGAACTGAGGTGATGAGCCGAGGCAGCTCCAGTCTGTTTCCTCTTCCTGATTTTCTGCAGAGGAAGAAGAAAAAGAAAAGAAAGGTGCGGAGCGTTCCTGCAGAGTTGACCAGAGAGCGCTGCCTGACTGGAGCCCCGCCCCCAGGTACATCCTCACCTTTCTTCTGTCCACCTGAGGCTTTTTGTTGGATCGATGTCACTACTGTGAGCTCTGAGAGGCATTGGACCTGAGACATGATCCAGTTCAGCATTTCTGTGATTTGTACATTAAAACGTGTCCCTTTAAACTCCACTGACCTGCAGACTGACTCCAGTCAGACCACAATCACATTTAAGCAGCTCAGATACAAAATACTTATGAGAGTCCTTCCCAGGATCCTCTTCTCCTGAAATATTAAAATAAGTTGTGTATTGTGTGGTTCTTCTCTCTGCTCAAACATGATGCAGAGAGATGAGGAGTTTGTTGGACTGTGACTCAGCCTGGAACTGAAAATATGGATGGAGGACAACAGAGCTGCTTCATGGAAGAACAACCTCAGC